TACAAAAATAACAGCTTTGGTTTTCATGAATTTTATTTCATCTAGTATTATAACATAGTTATTTCTTTGAATTCTATACAACATTCTGACTGACTGACTGACTGACGAAATATAAAGATATGACGTCTTAAGTTGAATGTTCATTAATGTATGATGAATTAGCCGACTTTAATGATATGACTTTAATATAAATTAAAATAAAGCCTATTACAATTATATTATCTTGTATGTATAATATTTACACTACCACTAACAACAACGACAAAATATACTTAATTAATAACGCGACTTGATATGACTACACTTTTGTTTAACTTCACATTACTTGACAACACGTTTTTATAAATAACTTGTATTGTTCCCCAATCCTGCATTTGTTGACGGGAATTACACACAGTCAGCAACTGACTGCTGTTCTACCTATTCTTCACAGTCTGATTACAAGGGGCGCGCCGGTTACTTTATATCAGATGCCCTAATTAACATGTGAGTAATTAAAGTCTACAACCATGTAAATGTGTTAACTTTACGCATGTTGATTCTTTAGTACTCTGTCGAAGCTCTGGACGGTGGCAGAGTCTACTCACATGCTTGATTTTAAAAATTCAGGTTCAAGTCTGACTACAAATATCTTCAAAACAGACAAATTGTTTGTGAATCAAAATATCGAATTTCGTCATTTTGCGGTAATGTAATTGAAATTAAAGATATTGAATTGGCACTGTTCATTAAACTGTGTGATAACGAGGTTTTTATGCCAAGGGCATGTAGCTACAAACTAGTAGTGTTACATCTTGAGTAGCATTAACATACAACTTGAAGCTTCAAGTTACTACTATCATGTCCTTCACATTCTTGATAACTATATATATGGCCATCAAATTCGAAATACATACTGCGTAATGTCTTCTTTATTTTGAAAAGACTCATCTATTCAAAGTGCTAAACTTTTTCGTAATGGTAAAACACCAGGTTGCGATTGCGCATATTTTACTTGTCGGAGGTAATGAGCACTAAGGTATTTTCGCGGAGATGCATTTTTCAAAACTCTTTCAACATTGCAATTGAAGATTGGTTATTATTGATTTGGAAATATCCTAGTTTAGATGTAGGATCCGTACGTTCTAACTAATCAATACAATATGTCACATATCGGCTTTCAGATGGATTAGTCAGTTTGTGCAATTTCCTGATTTATTTTCATGAGCCTCTTCGCAGTCACTTAGATTAACACCACTGCTAGTGACAGCGTCTGTATTGAACTCGGAGGAAGTTCTTTCATTCAGTTTAAGAGCAACATAAAGACAGATCAAAAAACATTTCATACTAACGGATTTACTGTCCATATAGGATTATCGGGTGTACTGTACATCTTGCATGGAGATAGATTGAAGATTGAATTTTGCATATTTCCCAGTCTTAGATGTAGGATCCATACGTTCTAGCAAATAATACATTATGTCACATCTCGGCCTCAGACGAATTATTTTCCACATAATTAAGGATTTTATTGTCAACAATCATGTGCAACATGAAGGTGTAATTTGGGTATTCATATCCCAGCTGAACATTTATATTCTAGTGATGTCCAGTATATATTAGTTAAGTATAAGTTAATCGTATCAACTCTAGTGTCTAACATTTGTCCCTGTGTAAAAGAGCTTTTGATGTCATTGAGGTCAAGCGAACCAATCGTTTTTCTCTGATTTTCTCTTTGCTATACCATTATTATTATGCGATACGATAAACGATATAGAACTAACGAATGTAACAGTTAGTATAAATAATTATCATCATTTCAAGAACATTCGTCCCGAACTTTAATTAACTCAGTTATGTTTCTACTTGTCCGTTAGTGTTCGCAGTAACACAGGATTCATCTAAACACGAGAACCAGTATAGTATTATTCCAGTATCAGTCGTGCCATCACTGACTCTGTGAAACTGGACACAGCACAGACTGACTATTCACCAGCTCACAATACATCTTTGATTTCTAAAGTTTACTCTTATAATGCAATATGCGATGCAATCTTCTCGCCATAATAATATGTACATATGGTCAAAATAATCAACTAATGAACAAATTACCAACACATTATATAAAAATGTTTGACACGATGAAACAAGGTGAATGGTCAAATGATATTATGCAAATAATGTACAAATAGGGAGATAATGCAGTAATAATAAAAAAAAAAAATAATTGCTAAATAATCTCATAGACTTGTTGAATAAGTATGGAATTGTTACAGAATGACGTAACACTCGATAAATAAAGCAAACTTTGCAAATGACATAATAATGGTATAAAATTGCTGAAACATTCTAAAAAAATAAAGAATGATTTAATAACGTTCTAAATATATCTACATATACAGCCATCAAAGTAGATAAACACAAAAGTATTTTTTATTGATTTATCTTCGTTTATAAAAGAAAGGGTTTTGAATTGTGAGACGCCAGCTTGCCAATCTTAAAGTATACTAGTATACCTCACAGGAAGTAATAAACATTGATATTTCACTCATTCGGAAATGTAGTTACCTGATACCTTTGAACACTGCAACTGAAGATTGGTTGTCATAAGTTTCAAGCCTTTTTACAGCATCCAAATGCAGATTGCCACCACCCTTGTCTACCACGTTAGCTTGTTCGTACATATTTTGAGGCCGTTGGTGCTGACTTGTCAGTGAATAAGACTGGGGCTCAATGAATAAGGCGTACCTCCCGTCGTTAGAAACGTTTTGTTTCCTGAAATGCTTCACCAATACCTCGCCCGAACTGTTTGCCAGGTACAAGTTAATTAAGAAATTGAAATTGGTCAATGTATGCTTGAACAGATGTTAGTGGTCATTTAATAGATAATCTTGAGAGGAAGGAAATTACAGTAAGGTTCAAACAGATGTAATAAAAGTGTTGTTTACTTGCAGGGCGAAAATAAACAACAAACAGATACAACATTCATGAAACCTGACAGAGTGCAGTGTTTTTTGCTGGAAGAGTTGAATTTTGAAAAATAAGATGGTTTACTCGGACAGCCACAGAATGAAGGTTATACGAGAAACAAGTATTGCTATACAATACTTAGATCTCTGTGCAAAGTAGATGTATATTGGGTTTCAGCAGATAAATAATTATGCATTTGAAAATTCAATCAGCCAGTCGGCACGAAATACAGTTCGAATGGATTGTTTGTATTTGCTTGAAGTGGCTGGGTACAGGAATTAAAGTGGCTACTGGTAATTTGATAATTTTGAACAAAGTGAGCTTTCAATGAATTGTCTTAAATTGTACAGGAATATGACATAAAGAAATGTCAGAAATTACAAAAAACATGCATCTACTTTATAATATTATCATTAATGTAATCAAACACCGATCAAGTGTTACAGTTGATGTGAAAGATGACTTGAGAGAATGTCTTTGACAGCCTTGTGCCAAATACCAGATGATTAAACTCTCGTTGTTCCAACAAGCCATGCACAGTCCCGTTAGTTATCAAATTTAAGATATATAGTTTTGTTTATAGTAATATAGCTGGTATATAAACATGTCCGGAATATGATTATGATGATTGTTTAACAATTAAAATGATTGACATTTGTATCTGATCGTCAAATGAGTATGAGAG